TTTCCTTTTCATAGTGACGGTCTTTAGGGGACTGTCTTAAAAGGACTATTCCTGGGTACGTCTTTGTACCAAGGACATGTGAACAAATACGACAAGTAAGCGGTGTGCGCGCTGCATCATTCAAGTCGGTGTTGGAGCCACGGTCACCACACTACACGACACGACGTTCGACCACAGTGCGACCTCAGTGCTCCCCGAGTGCGACCTCAGTGCTCCCCGAGTGCGACCCCAGTGCGACCCCAGTGCGACCCCAGTGCGCCCCCAGTGCGCCCCCCAGTGCGCCCCCAGTGCGCCCCCCAGTGCGCCCCAGTGCGTCCCCAGTGCGTCCCCAGTGCGACCCCAGTGCGACCCCCCTCCCCTCCCCCCAGTGCGCCCCCGGTGCGCCCTGCTGCTACCTCTGTGCGTCCTCCCCCCCCTCCCGCCTCCCACGCACCCCGACGGCGCAGTCCCAGCCCATGGTCCGAGCCCTGTTCGCCCGACTCCCCTATTAAAAGCCCAGGCCGGGCCGCTTGCCGCGCCCACTCGGGGCGTACCTGAGAAGGTCAGTAGTGGTATGAGCGGGTCACTGACTCATGGACTCGCAGTGCACACGCTCATCGAACAAAGTACTTGCTGCCCCTCTGTTCTGTTATATTTTTACCCGTTGTGCGCCGGTTAAAATCGACAAAATGGGTTACAAGGACTTTGAACTGAATTTGAACTTCTTGTTGAATACTGCACAACGCCCGCGCCAGTCGAAGCTGCGTTCGGCGCTGCATGAGTTAGTTAGCGCAGTAGGTGATTTCAAAGTGAGCCGCAGAATCGCAACGTGCGCTGCCGTCCCTACTCGTCGCTGCTTCAATGGGAAGGACGTCCAGGACGAAGAGAAGAGGAACTACTCGACGGCCGCCTGTGCTGTGCTGTGCTTAAACCATCGACATAAACTGTTAATGACAATTAAATCAACGTGCGTAGCGAAGAGTGGCGCCGGCGCTCCTCCTTGTCTCCGCCGGTGGTGACCTGCCGCCTGCCCTTCCTGCTTGCGTCATGGTGCAGCCCAGCCCGCTCCTGCCCCGCGGAGGGATCACCCCGGATCACCCAAGATCACCTCGGATCACCCAGGATCACCTCGGACCACCTCGGATCACCCAGGATCACCTCGGATCACCCGGGATCACCCGGGATCACTCGGAATCACCCAGCATTACTCGAGATCACCCAGCATCACTCGGGATTACCTAGGATCACCCGGCATCAACCGGGATCACCTGGGATAACCTAGGATCGCCCGGGATCACTCAAGATCACCCGGGATCACCTCGCGCCCATCGGACACTACGGAGTAGCGGACGGCGCGCGCTGCAGAACCGCCTCGCGGCCACCACGTTTCCTCCTATGACCTGTGTGCGTATGCAGCGCGGGCGCGCGTCAGTGCGTCGCGGTGGGGGTGAGTGGGCATTCCCCCGCCGCTGCCCCGCGAGCATCTGCTGGCCCCTGGCCACAACCATAAGAGATCGTCCACAAGGTACGTGCCCTTTTTATTTTCCTGCAACATGGTGTAAAGTGGGCCTTCGTAAATTTTTGCTGTTCTAGTAAAAATTTTGCTGTTCCAGCAAAATGTTTTCTAAATTTACAAAGGCCCACTCTTGTCCCAGTAAAGACACCATTTTGCGTGGATCCGTTCTGCAAATAATGGCGGTGCGCTCCGTCAATTTGTCATCAATCTATCATAGCCGAGCCCAAAGCCAAGTAATTTATTACCCTTGCAACGGCGCCTGTGAGTCCCGGGGTAGGCCGCCCCGCAGTACGCGCATGCACTGCAAGCGAAATGTTGCCTACCTATCAGGCGCTATGAGAGCTTGCACAGAAGGCTAAACTTGGCATCTTCTCAGCGACAAAATCACGGACGCCTTTTCTGGATGCTCCCTAATTCTTAAAGCAACGTTTGCCACCGTAGACGGACGACGCATTCGTTTTGAAAAATGTCCATTGCTTTTTATGTCACCTCCAAACTGCAGTTATACCCTAAAAGTGCAACCTCTGCAGGGGTGACGGATTCTTTCCAAATCCCGCTCTCACTGCCGAAAGACGCGGCAGTACTGGGTGACAAAAAAATTATATCATACATGAAATGTTTTACGTTGCCGGTTTTGGGGGTGACAAAACGGGAAGTTTAAGAAATTTGACTATGTTTCCGCAAATATTTTTACACGTTTCTATTTTAATCAGTGCACTGGTAAAACAAGTGTTTAATTTTGCACGTCAATTGACGTTTAAGTTCAAGTGTGCATTTTCTCGACACTTTGTTGTGTCTAACTGTGTTATACGTCAATTGGTGTTTAAACTTTCGACACTTCCGAAACGTATAGCAGCTGCACACCGTATGGTTCCCTATTGATAGAATAGAACTGTGTGTGTCCAAGTGTTCAGAATTTAAACGTTTACAAAACGTCTAAAATTTGCACACCACGCAAGTGTTCAACTTGAGTTAAACACCATGTAATGCGCTAAATCACAACTTGCACACGTTTGGTGTGCAAATATTGCACACTTGTTTTACCAGTGTGCCTTATACTGCCTATACTTTCTTATTTTACTGATCGTTGCGACAAAATAACTGCCACAGATTTGTCAAAGCACGCTCGCGCTTCACCGACCAACCCGCCTATGAGCAAGCTGACCGCGGTTTGGCAGAGCTCTGGCTACTGCTCCGGCACGGAGTGCATTTAAAGAGCGGAACCCAGTGCGAAACGTAATATCGAAAGCAGGGGCGTATTAAGGGGCGTGTAAAGTTAAGTACGCGTGAGCGTTTCACGTGAGATGAGCGCTCACACGAGCAATGTGCGGTGCCATATACTAA